TGAAGGGCATCACTGACTCAATGAACATGAGTTTGAGTAAACTCTAGCAATAGTGGAGGACAGGGAAGCCTGGCATGCTACAGTCCATGGGGTTGCAAAGAGTCAGACATGACTTAGTGACTGAACAACAAAAATAAAAATGCACTTATAATACATAGCTCTTTTTTTCATTGTTTTTACTAGTTTTCCTAGATAAGGACTACATTTTACTTCCATTGTTACTTTTTTCAGTGCCCCAAATACGGCTTAGGGTGGCAGTATTAGAAACTCAATATAAATGCATATACAAATGTGTGTGTGTGTGTGTGTGTGTGTGTGTGTTCATAAGACAGCAGATTTAACTAGTAACATGGTGGATAACACCCAATTAGAAACATGGAATTTCAGGAACACTTCATTTGCTCAGATTTTTCTAGTTAACTTTGACAGAACAGAGATAAATGAAACACCACACTCTGAATCGTGTCAATTAAACATCCACAAGAGCACAGAAATAACACAGCTTCCAGATGACTTTTTCCCGAACTTGACAAGCAATCCATCTCTTGAAAGTAATAGGTGTATGAAATTCCTTAGGCTCCTTAGGGAGGCTGGGTGATTTTCAGTCTGTGTGGATAGTATCCATGCTTTCTGGCTTCTGAGTCATTGGCATTAAAGAGGTTTAACCACCAAGGAACACCCCGCGACTTGTGTGATGATCTTCTAAAGCGTAAGGAAACTGGCTTAACGTCAGAGGAGTGCTCACACAGAGCGCTCTGGGAAAAAAGACTTTAGCATTTCCAAATGCATTTCAGAAAATTATCTTGCAAGTTGACTCTATAGCTTTCAAGTTACATAAGTAAACAAATGAGTCACAGACACAGGGTGTGATGTTTGAGAACAGTGTGCTTACCCTTTTACAATGCAAATGGGGAAAGAGGAGCTGATGGAGGTTAAGTGGAAAAAGAGACGTGATAGATATATTATAAATAGAACCCAAGAATTTATGGTAAAGCTATTTGGAGAAAATGGAACAGCCTGGACAGTTCTATTTTGGCTCAAAGACAGTCATCGTAACTTTAAGGATCCCAGGAGCCCTTCGTTCATTTATTTTTACTGTTGGCAGAAGCGAAACCTTGAAAGAAATGAATTTAACAATGGATTAAATTGCTTAATTTGGCCTTCTTGAATAAAATTTTAGAACTACCGATTCCTTTAGCCCTATCTGTAGGGACCACTCAATGTCCTCACTGTTGGGCTTCATGAGGTTTCTGACCTGGTTTGAGATGCTGCAGAAATGGAACACATCTACCAATTCCTGCAGAAACACCATTCCCTGGCTGATTGCATTGAGGTGTTCTTTGCCCCCTCATTGTCATCCTTTATAAGTCCAAATATCTTTGATCCACTTGATTTTACCAGGTCCTTTGTTTCTATAGGTTTGAAATAAAGCTGTTAGTATATTGTAAGCTAATAGGTAAAGACCTTTTAATGCAATCATTTCCTCTTTTCTCTGTAAAGTGGATCTCTTGTATCTTGTATTAACCACGTCAAGTCTGCTATCACCCCATAATTTACATCTCACTTCCCAAAGTATTGATTTGTTAGAAAACCAATTCCAACAGATTTAACAGAAATACAGCTAAGAATTGTAGGGGATTTGCAGGAGATCTCACCGCAACAAAGACAGATGTACAGTCACTGATAATTACGGGCAGGGTTTAAGCAGCACTGGTTCTTGAAGGTTATTAACAGGCATAGAGGGACAACATGTCCTCCCCAATAGCCTTTCTTTCAGGACTGCTTCAGACTGGAAAGTAGGGCACACACGTTAAAAGGTTGTAGTGCTTTTCCATTACCACTGTAACAAATGAACGCAGACTTGATGACTGAAACCAAGACAAATGTATTACCTTATGGTTCTGCAGGTTACAGGTCTTACACAGCTTTTGCTGGAGTGAAATCGAAGTGTCAAGGGCTGTGTCCCTCCTGGAGGCTCTCGGGGAGGATGCACTTGCTCGCCTTTTCCACCCTCTAGGGGGTCACCCTCCTGCCTTGGTCCAGGACCCTTTCCTTATCAATCACCACCCGTGGCGTTCTCACATGCCTGGCTCTGACATAGTTTCACAGATGCAGCTCTCTTGACTCACTCATTCTGTCCCCATCTTCCACATTTACAGATCTTCCTGATGACATTGGGCCACCACATCACCCGGGGTAACCTGTGACACCATCACATCGTCGGGGTGCCCCTTTCCCATGTAAGGTGACAGTCCCGGGTTGTGGAGGTTAACATGCGGGCACTTGGGAGCTATGACCAAAAAGGTATTCAGTTTCAATTCTTCTAGAACTCTGATTGTCCGGGACCTTAGTAAATCTACAGCATCATCTGCTGGCTTGCGTATTAATCAACTTTCTTTAAATTAGCTTGTAATGAAGGAATCACTGACTTTGTACTATGATCTTTGTGTAAAATGGAAGCTCTAAGCTGAGCCCCCGCCCTTGGGAAGGTAAGGGAACTACCTACAGTTTCAAGGATAGGTCTTGTATGGAACCACCTCCTGCCCCTACAGTCCCCTCCCCATATAGAGTATGTGAGTATTTGTCGAATTCACACGGCTGAGTCAAGAAATTCATGCACGTTAATTCACCCTGGAGTATGATTCACTTGCATGGTTTGGCTCCAACCACAGAGAACAAATGATATAATTGTTACTAAACCCTCACCTTTGATTCTGCATAAAAGAAATCTGCACAGAATTTATGCATTTTTGAATGCATACACTGGTTTGATATATATCATGTAACTAACTTCCTGCTTCATATTTTACAAACTGCCTCGTACATAATAAAGCAGGAATCAACAAACTATGGCCCATGGGTCAAATCTGGCCCATAAGCTAAGAATGATTGTTACATTGTTAAGTGGCTAAAAAAACAAAACAAAAAAAAACCGAGTAATATTTTCTTTACAGAAAAATCACATGAAACTTAAATGTCGTGTCTGTAAGTAAGGTGGTTGGGACATGGGGGCAGCTTGTGTTCTTCAAGGGCAGAGGTGAACAGTTGCAACAAAGGCATCATAACTCATAAACCCTAAAATATTTCTGCCTGACCCTTTCTTGTCGAAGTTTGTCCATTAACTCAAAACTGACATTTCTATGGGTAAATATTTGCAAGATATGGGGGTGACAAGGGGTTTGTTTATGGTATTGTTAATGTTGACATGCAACTAATGGGTAATTCAACCTATCTTTTGAGATCAGAATTCCACTCAAAGAGAATCTAATTAAGGATAAGCAATATTTTTAAAGCAACAGCACAACAAATGTGGATTTCAGTTATAAAAATTTCAGTGAGTAGAAGTAGGTGAGTGGGATGGATGTGGGTTTCTGAATCCAGAGTTCACTTCTCTCCTAAGCATTGTCACTAATAAGTAAAGAGGTAGGCAACCTGTTTCAAATAGAATTTGCCATGTAGTCTGACCAGGAAAAAAAAAAGTGAGGGAGGGCGCCTTCAAACAAAATATCCCAATGATTAAATGTCTCCTGGAATGGGTCATATCCAGCATCACTAGTCAGTACCACACAAATCCTAGCAAAGAGGCAGATCTGAGTAGTGAATTACCTCTTACAGGAGATTATTTCAAATAGCGACATAAACACTGTTGCAATTGGTTCCAGTAAAGGTTTGGCTTTTCACTTTGAATGGATGCTGTGCGTTTTTAAGTCTGAGAGTTGAAATAGAGTACCCTGACATCAAAAAGCTCGCCTGCATATTTCACTGGACGCAGCTGTTTCTCAAGGTAGCAGAGCTAGCAGGAATATGCTCTACATGGCCAGCCCCAAATTCTGGGAATAGAATACGTTTCCAGCTCAACCAGGCAGCAGTGGGCGCTCCAACCCCAATGGGCCCTGCCGGCTCCAGCTGCGAGACAGTTTGTTCACCCCTGACATATCATCTGCATGAATAAGCATCACTTTGAAAATAGATTTGCTGCTGAAATGCAAAGTAACTATATGGTGCATAGCTCCATGCAAGTAACATCAAAATGCTTTGGGAACATTTCCATGGCATCTGTATTGTCTCTTTAAAAACTTTGACATAGGTCTTTTCAAGTCCAGTTTACAGACTGGAAAACTGAGGTTCAGAAAGGATAACCCAAGGATATACTGTCTCAGTTAGTACAAGTGGAGGCAACACACATTCATCCATCCATCTGAAGCATTGGTCAGGCCTCTGGCCAGAATGGAACGTGTCACGTCATTTCTAATGATCAAGAGCGCCTCTGCCTGAAACGTCATTTACTCCATAATGACATGAAGTTGTCAACAGTTGGAAGTAAATCACTCGTTTTTTCTGACAGCCAAAGTCCACCTTGGAAGTGGACTGGCTATTTTAAACAGCTTAGCCAGAGATTGAACCTGTCTCACTTTTGAAACATTTAATTTTGTTTAATATACTAATTGACACACACACACATGAGGCATTTTGAATCTCTTTGATAGTTCTTATCGCTAAGCTCATCAACACCCCTCTTCTCCACTTCAGAAGGCAGGGCCCAGGTTGTGAGTCTGCAGATGGACCCTGGAGACACTGGATGTTATGAGTTGTTTGAGTCACTTCAGGTGAAACAGAATTGCCAAGTGATCAAACACTGAAGGGCAGAATTGTATCATTTGTGTATTTCTATTCCTTTGGTAATTCATTATGATCCTGGTCCTAATAAGAAGAAATAAGAGCTCAAAGGAATATCGGCTCACTTAGCCATCCTTAATGAAGAAGAATCAAAATGTTCAATATTTGTGAAAGCCTTCATTCCATCAAGGATGAATGTGGCGTTTGTCTGCGGCCAGAGGTGAAATAACCTGCAGTGCTTCAAGGTGAAATGCAGCTAAGAAATATGTCTGTTTTAGGTAACTCAGCATGCAGACAGTCGGTGCTCACTTGTGAAGGCGGGTTTGAGACGGGGCATTTGTGAGGCTGGTTTATAAGGGAGCCGTTTTCATTCTCTCTTCCAGGCTAACCGGCATGAACCTCCCTTCTCCTGTCATCAGTAGCAAGAACTGGTTGCGACTCCATTTCACATCCGACAGTAACCACCGACGGAAAGGATTTAATGCTCAGTTTCAAGGTAAGAAGGCTTCATCTTATAAGACAAAAAATAGCAGAAGATACTCTGGTCCTCTGGCAACCCTGAAATTTCAGAACTCTCTTGCTGAAGATGAAACAAGAGTTGTAAACTTGAATGAAAATGGCTTCTATCTCTCATATGAACCGTTAACTTTGGGACAATTAGCAACTTGTTAGTAAAGTTTTACTGTGGTGACAGTACGCTCTATATTGTATTGTTTTGCTGGAATTATTGATAAGTTTTAACTGGTAAGTCAGTGAACATGTAATAGCACACATTCCAATCGCTATGCACCCACCCAGTAAATAACAGTTTCTGATTATTTTCTTTATTTGCTTACTAAGAAGGATGTAGCATATGGGTTGCATGAAAGTGCATAAATGCATCATCTTATCACTTTTAGTCCTAAGATGTATTCACATTCCGCAAATGCAACCACCTAATGATTAGTGATTTACACACAGCTGTCCTGTGTTTTGCTTAGTAGTTTAGTTGTGTCTGACTCTTTGCGACCCCTGTACCATAGCCCACCAGGCTGCTCTGTCCATGGGGATTCTCCAGGCAAGAATACTGGAGTGGGTTGCCATGCCCTCCTCCAGGGGATCTTCCCCACCCAGGGATCGAACCCAGGTCTCCCGCATTGCAGGTAGATCCTTCACTGTCTGAGCCAGCAGGAAAGCCTAAGAATACTGGCGTGGGTAGCCTCTCCATTCTCCAGGGGATCTTCCCAACCCAGGAATTGAACCGGGGTCTCCTGCATTGCAGGTGGATTCTTTACCAGCTGAGCTACCAGGGAAGCCCAGGGGACTGCAAAACAAAAACACCAAATTGTTTGTAGTTGGGTGAAACAGAGAGCTTGCCATCAATAGTATATTGGGTTGATTTTGAATCTTTTTGCATCTAATTCTAGATATAAAAAAAAAAATCTCACCTGGATAGCATTTTATCATTTCCTACATGTTTCCCATATTCAATAATTGTTATCAATACTATGAAAAAGGCAATAGAAACTATTACACATGCATCTGAAAATAAAGCAAACTAGGATGGCTCTGTCAGAAAGCTGGATGCTTTCTCAAGCAAACTCCTCCAGCTTTCCCCAAACTGTAGCCAATTCAATGAAGGCAGAATTCCCTGAACACTTGGCACATGTAAGCTGGGACCCTAAAATGAGGAAATGACAACAACCCCCATGCTCCAGTGTTGGTCCTTTAATGGGCCGGAACCTAGTGGTCCGGAGTCGACGATAAGAAAGTAAGAGAGAGAAAGAGGCTGATGGCGCTTGTTGGTCCTTTAATGGACCGGAACCTGGTGGTTCCGAGAGTAAGAGAGAGAAAGAGGCTGATATCCCCTGGTTTATGCAGAAAGCCAATAGAGCCCTGTTCTTAGGGCTCGCGCTGCTACACATAGGCACCGGGCGCCCTCTCGAGTGGGTGAAGGCACAGTGCGCCTTCTCGAGAGGGTCTTAGAAGCCCGGGCAAGAAAGTGAGCTCAGCGGGCCTCTGTGCTCCAAGGAATTAGCCAGAAATAGAGACAGAAAGAAGGAATAGAAAGAAAGAAAGGAAGACACGGGGACCAAAGCTCTGATGGAGCAAAGGTGTTTTAGTCAACATGGCGTGGGCACATACACTGTAGTTATTCTCAGGAGAGATAAAGATTAAAATTCCAGACTTATAAAACATAAGATGATCCCTATCAAAGAGAGAGTTGCAAACAATCACCTTTTACTGTATGGCTCATAAAAAGGAAGAAGTGCTTATCACCATAATGAGAAATGCCTGGATTCCTCAGCCCCAGAAAGGTGTGCCTCTCCTCTCAATTCCTGAATATTCAGGAATCAGTTAAGGTCCAGAGGGTTCCTGACAGATCCAAAACAGCACACAGGAAGCCTCTTGTTAAATGCTTCCTGACACTCCAGAAACTCGCAAATCACAAAGACAGTGTGCAAACAACTCTGTCTATGAAGGATAGAACATAAAGTCATAGATGCCACTGAGGAAGGTTTTAGTAATGTTCCAACTGGTGAGTCTGAATGCCACCTATCTGAAAAACATTTATTTTCTTTTTATAAATTTGATTTGAGTATAGTTGATTCACAATGTCGTGTTCACTTTGAAACACATTTTGAAATCCATAATGCCCTTATTGTGTCCTTTTGGGCAAGAAATTAAAAAAAAAAAAACTAAGAGTGATTTTCAGGGATTTAAATACAGATGATGCTGAGGAGGGTGCATGTGGTAGATTTTACCTGCCACTGGTCCACAGGCACATGGACCCTCAGAGAACGCGCCTGACTTGGAGGCCAGGGACAATTTTATTTCTCCTAAATTCATTTTATCTACAAGGAGCATCATGCATCTCTCAGTTTCTTCTGATGCTGCCAGAAAGTTCTTAGATTGCAAATATACTGCCTTAAACTTGAGGAGAGTCACACCAATTTGTTTCCACTAATCCCAGGACCCAGGCAAGGCCGATATTTTTCTTCTCAGACCTGCCTTTATGTTCCTTGATCTTCCAAGGCCATGTATTCTAACTGCAGTTATAGGAGAACAGGCCTGGAAAGCACAGAGCAATGGGAGTTGGGGTCTCATGGGGATGTAATGGGGGAAGCTGAGGAATACCCCACTCAGTCTTGGAGGAAATTCTGACTTTTCTCCATATTATTTCCCATCAACAGATACATCTGTCTCTGATTTAAGACCCTCATAGAGCACTATTTAGAATCACAATTGACTGATCAGTTGGTACATTATAGAGTTGTTGCTAAACTGGTGACTGATCTTCTCCAAAAGTCCTACTTAGTTGATGCATATGGAAATACAGAAACATTTCCAGGTGTCATCCTCTCAACCTCATCATTGAATCTGGCACCTGGACCAGTGACTGAAAGATGAAAAATAGAATGTGAAGTTTGAAGATGCTCCAAATCAAATTGGTAGATACAAGAAGCAATTGCAATGTTGCAACACCGCATATCAGCCACTGATTTTATATGTGTATTATGTATAATATATTCATATGTATTTGTATATGTATAAAAATGATGATTAAAAAAATTAGCACCTAACCGGCCAGGCTCCTCTGTCCATGGGATTCTCCAGCAAGAATACTGAAGTGGGTTGCCATGCCCTCCTCCAGGGGATCTTTCTGACCCAGGGATCAAACACACATCTGTTATGTCTCCTGCATTGGCAGGCAGGTTCTTTACCACTAGTGCCACCTGGGAAGCCCATATTAAAATATATTTGTATATATATAAAAGTGATGATTAGAAAAATTTGCGCATAAGACCAAAGAGATGAAAAGACCTGAGAATACAAGGAGGGGTAAAGTGGCTCAGCAGTGATGTGTAAGAAGACCTCTTCAGGCTGACGCTGGAGCTCACATCCAGGACCAAAGGTGGCAGGGGCTGCCCCTTCTTCACCGGCCTCAGGCCTTACATCACAGGAAGGGTCATGACATCACGGCTAGGCCGGATCTCAGCTGACCGTCCATGGACAGTCAGATTCAGCCCTGGATGTCATCCTTTTGAAACCAAAGGTTACAAAACAGAGAGGATCAGGGTGATAGTAAGAAATGTTCCAAAACGGGAACTGAGGACGCTGAGAAGGAGCCTGGTCCACATCAGGCAGGAAGGCATCACGTGTGTTTTTTGGCTCCTGGGGGCAGAACTGTCACCCGTGAACAGAAGCCACAGGTGGACCTTCCTGGCAACCCCAGAACAAGCCCACAGGCAGCAGAAGGCAGGACGCAGAGCACCGGCCTGGGCGGGCCTCTGGCAGCCCCTGGCCGCCCCGCTGACATCCCCACTGGACACAGGGCTGCCTGCACGTTGCAGGGAGGCCTCAGTATTTTCACTCTGAGGACAGACACTTCCTGTCTTGTAGGAAGGTAGCTGTTCTTGTAAATTTTCTTTTTTCTTTTCTACCTAGATTGAACATTAGGAAGCCCCAATTTATATTATACTATATTTCAACTAAACAAATTCAAGGGGGAAGAAAAAACCAAAAAAACGCTGTTGTTATTACCTCCACACTTGCTAAGAAGAAAACAAAGTAGAAGAGCAATCTAGAAAACCAGCAAGAACAATAATAATAGTGAAAACACGGTGTCTAGTGAAAGCTACTTTAATATCAATGTAAATATTCTCTCAAAGAATCTGAATCTCGGGGTATTTGGTGGATAAGGGGAACATTAGAAAACACATTTCTGTGCTCACCGCCTTCAATGTTATTGTAGTCACATTTATCATTTGCAGTCAGTCTTATAACTATAAAATTTCCATCAGTGTTACTCAGATTGAATGAGACAGCAGATTGTGTGAGATTGCTGTGAAAACTCTTTGTGTTCCTAAGTTGCCAATGCAGCCCCCTGCTGGCGTCTCTGCCACAGAATCTGCCCCTCTGATGGGAGAATGAAGCCTGCAGAGATTTTTACAACTTCTAAAAACAAAGAATCCATTCCTTTTAACTTGGGGCTTTTCTTGGTCAGATAAACAGCTATCCACCAGTGTAGCATGGTCTTTCTTGTCTTCCTTTATGTTTCTACCTTTCATCTGTGTCCTTTCTTCTCTGAACCTCGCACTTTATTCTTTGGCTTTTCTCTTTTCGATCATGCCATCAAGTTATGCCAGAAGTAGAAGTAAGGTTGATTGACAGGTAAAACCACTCTGTAGCTGCTAAATATATTCACCTTTAAAATAGCATTATGAGCAAAAAAACGTGGCAAATGCAATAAAAGCCACTTGATAGATTTGCAATATCATGTGTCTCTTATGGGCCCTCACAGAATGACAGATTTATGTAGGACATGCTATTCTTTAAATCAACTGAAAATTGAGCCCATTCTTTATATGTTGCCTCCATCATTAATTATAATTAAATAAGTGCCTTGTTAGCACAATCCATCATGTAGACATTTCTGATGTCTGTAAGATGAATTTTTTTTAAAGATATATTAACCTTGAACCATGAGTACCTCTCCAGTATGAAGTAGCTATA